CAAACGCCGTGGAAACAAACACAGGGATCTCCGCCACGGTCATTGCCAAGGCCTGGATGATGGACATTCCCTCTGTCCTTCTAAATGCCATGTCTGCACAAGGATCTCGGCACCTCCAGGTACCTCCACAAAGGGGAAGGGCACTTGTGGATGCTGTGTGAGCTGCTCACAAAGAAATCCAACTTTTGTCTGACATCTGGCTCAGAGTCCTGGGGTTGCCCTTCATCCAGAAATCCTCATCCTGCAGGAAAGGAGAAAAATCAGGTGAGTGAAGGGAACACATGACCTGTGCCTCCTTGTACTGCACTTCACAAGCCACACACCAGGCCACTTGGAGCAGCAATGCTGCAGGAGGCAAGCAGGAGATCTAAGGCATATCTGCACCAGCAGCAGCAATTTTTTTCCTTGTCCTACCAACCACAGGGGCAGACCCCCAAACTGCTCTACAGCAGCACCATCCTTGGACTCAATAGCTGCCAGAGATTTCCACACACACCAGAACTGGCTGCACATGGTTGGAGAGATTTTATTTGCAGTCATTAAAAAAAAAAAAATAAAAATGTAACTATCTAGATGTACACTTTCATTGTCAAAACTCTGCTTTCATAAAGTTTTCAGTGCATCAAAGACAAACCAAAGAGCATTTGCCCTGGAGATTTCAAGGCTGAGTTTACACAGATCTTTGCTGGCTGTGCTGGGAGCTGGGGAGGAAGGACATGCTGCACATCAAGGACAACGCTACAGAAGAACGTACAGAATCCAGGAGGGGTCATCTTTTAAACACCAGCGTTATAAACCCTTTGGTCTTGCTCCCTGCCAGGACGGCCTCTGCAGCGAGGAGATGCTGCTCGGACCCTGCGTGTGGCCCCGCTGGGCTCTGGCGTCTCCCCACAGCCACCAGCTAACCCCAGCCCCAGTGTCACCACTGCCCCACTGCTGCCTGACCCCAGGACTGACCGCAACCCCCCCACAGCCTGTGGGCCACTGTCACTCCCTCCGAGGGCCCCATTTGGGGAGTCTTAAGGCGGTGGGAGCCCAGAGGGATGGGTGACAGGCTCTGCCACAAGGTTAAACACCACATTTTGGCCAGAGCAGAGACGGGGAAAGCAGAGTGCAAGGAATTTTGGGCAGAGAAAACAGTCTGAAGGTTCCT